TCTTTCGACACTTGAGACTTCATTACATGGACTGTGCACCTATTTTAAAGCTGTCCAAAAAGATTAATGCCTTTTTGGTTGTTTCTTTTATTGACATTAATTTTCTTCTTTGATGCCTCTTTCCCACATCATCAAAACTTTTCCCTGCCTTTGTGCATTTGTCACAGTAGTTAATTCCAAAACTTTTGCCATTGTTTCTTTTATAATTTCATCTTTCTGATTCAGATCTGATCTATTATATATTATCAAGTATGTAGAAGTAACTAAGAGCCAATTGGCTAATGTAATTGTTTACCTGAGTGCATCAACTGAATGGCTCAATGAAGAAATGCTGTTAACTAGTGAATCTACTGACACTCTATCACGAGTTCAGACATCAATGAGTATCGACTTACTTTACAAAGACTTCTTTTTTCTAGAGAACTGAGAAAGAGTGCTCAGCAGTATTTGTCCTCTTGTCTGCATTCTTTCTTGCAAGGACCCTGGTCCAGAAACATCTGCTAGCAGTGGTTCAACTGTTTTGCTGTGTTCATCTCTCTTGATGCCAGTCTCAGCAATGCTCTTTACAATATTCTTTAGTTTGGACTTTTGCCAGTGACACAGTAACTCAATCGGGACTTCAAGGCAGCACACAACATCTTCAGAGCTTACTCTTCGGTGCTTGTTACTGAAAGTACATTTTAGAGCTACTTGGAGATTCATCGTGTGGAATAGTTTCCGCGGGAGTTAATTAAAAATTATTATTAGTTATTACTTAAAAATCACAATGTACCACCCTTCACAAAAGACACCTAAGTACATCTCTATTTACTCGTTTCTGTGATGTCCTAATTATAAGTACATTCCTTAGGTGTATACTGTATCATACACTTTTAACGAAATGAGAAATAATTTTATAATTAAATTAATAAGTATTAAAAAGAATAAGTATTAAACGGTCACTGTGAAGTCCAATGGCAGTTTTTTATGCTTGAAAAGTACTGGTGATATTACATGGCAGAAACTAGATATCCCTAAAGAATAAATTAATGTTTATAATGAATGTTATAGCAAGTCAACAATCTGTGTGAATGGCTTTGCTAACAATTTATGGACATTTACTTGCTTGACTCCATACAAGTAAAGGGACTCCCGTGGTTTACAATTGTAGTACAGAGGATATACTGAAGGATGACCTCATATTTCTGGACATGCATTGCAAGATGTATTTCAGACTCGTAATTTGCAATCAAAAAACTTCCCAATGAAAACCAGGCCTACGGTAATGAATCCATAGTGCTACCTGGAGATCTGTATAACAAAGCAAGAGCTATGTCTGAAGAATTGGGCTAATTAGATTTGGCAACAATGCCTTCAATGTTGTCACCACTGTTAAAAGTTGAAGCGTCATATGAGCTTTAACACTGGGATCAAGACTCATCATTACTCCCCCTTTGTTATTATCAGATTGCCTATCACACCTAACTAATGTGTGACCATTGCATACTTTAGGAGCATTAAAATATTGCTCTGTACCAATTTGATGGATCAGATTCATTGAACTTTCTAAATCTAATGACAACTTCCCTGCCCCTTTTTTCATTTTCCCAAAATCATCATCACCAACTCTGTAGTCAGTGACATAATATGGAGCAAAATCAACCAAGCACATTGACTGTAAGCTTTGTGGTCTGTGTTGATATCTATCTATTTGGTTCTTGAAAGAAACACTGATTCATCATCAGCTAGATTAAAGAGCAATGTGTCACCTTTTAATTGTGCTATTCTAAATTCTTTTGTGTTTGTGTTGATAAAGACTACAGTTCTAATTAGCAATGTTAAAGGCAATGAAAGTATTCAGTAGACTACCTTTTGTGCAGGTATAGCTGTGTTTGACTAGGCATA